TCTTGTCCCATTCCAACGCGAAGAAATCTTTCATTTCCTTGGATTGATACTGGAATGATCCTTCAGGTAGGAGTTATCTATGATTATGCTATTTCTATGCAAGTCCATCAATTTTCGTCTGATAATTAGGATACAAAAAAGAATAATAGTAAAACAATAATAATGATAGCGATAATAATCAACACGGAAAACAGAAGGGAACATTTTGAAAGCTCACTTCGTATTTCTTCTCTATGCTATCTCCACGAGGCACTTCGACATACCCTAGACCGAGCCCAATATCACCGCCCATTTCCATGCAATTGTTCAAATCCACGTTGTCATCGGACTTCACTGCAAAATCCTTTTCTAAGAGTATTGTGAACAAGTACAAAATGTGATAATAGCACATCTGTGCAAGAACAGAGTGAAAACTTTCAGAAAAAAACCGTCGCTTATCAATACGCAAAACATTCTGTTGGCTATCACAGAACACTTCCTTGGTCACAAATTTAAAGCCGTCGCCTGTTAAAATATGGGTTGCATGTAGCAATCAGGCATTTAGCAGTAGGTTCGCTAACTGCGGACGTATGAACATATTAACCCCCGTCAATTTTTTGAAACTAGTACAAAAAAAGGAAAAAGGGGTAGGCCAACTTTCAATAAAACTCTTACCATTTTGAGATGTACCTGAGCGAAACTTGCTCGACATCTGAAAGATTTAAAATGTCAAAAAAATCGTGAACAAACCACGACGAGAGCTAATTTCACGCAATGGGCTTAAAAAAACTGTGAAAGATGAGAATGAGTAAGACGTTCACTGCATTGGACTCTTACGTGACAGCCATCTTTTTCACGACTATTTTTTCCCTTCCAGAGACTTCCCTTGCTTAAATAAACAGCTCCAAAGGGAGGTTTGCTCGTTTGTGTACCCGGCTTGAAATAAAACTTCGCCTTAATTCACAACAACTGAAACTCGGGGACATTTTCAGTTCTGGCTGGCATATCCCTACAAGTCGAGAGTAAGGACCATCTTGTTGTCTACCGCATTATCAACACCCAACTTTCAGTATCCTTTGGAACAACGAAAATATAATTGGCGGTTAAGAGGGGTGATAGCAGTTCGTCTAGGTATACCTGGCCTCATAATTGAAGCTTTTTGGGGGGATCTTCGTCTGTCTACACTTGGACCCTGTTAATAAAAGGAATATTGAGTCAGGGCGAAGATGGCTTGAAATACGTGGATCTGCCCAATGAACTTGAAAGGACAATCCATTGAATGAGAAAGAATGAAAAGCGGAACCATTGTTGACACAATGCGTTTCATTCCGATGACGGCTGGGGAAATATGGTTTTGGTTTGTCAATGGGTAGATAAAGCACAAAATGAGACACTTCGCAGCATATGTCTAATAAAAATGCGGTAGAACTCCTAGGAAGATATCAGAAAAGGGGAAAAAACTCATAATTATCGCCGCTTCTGATTCTGCAGTAGAGAAATAACGGCATCAAAAAATTCAGGCCGCAAAATTCGATGATATCGAAATTGGCAGTCAAAACTTTGATTCACCAAACTTACCATTCGAGAAATGATTCAACTATGTAAACATCAGACTTCATGGCACATTCCGCAGAAAAACGTTGAAGAATACGATGCACTTAGAGGCTATATCAACTAAGCTAGCAACAGTCACGGTGATAAGGGGAGTGATTAGCTCAAAAGTACCGGGCTTTTTAATACATCGAAATTCGGAAAAAGAGGAAAAACTAGGCGAATGTGAGGTTTGTTCTCTTCTAGCAAAACCAAAGTTAATATTGCTCGGACCGTAGTCCCCAATTATAAATACTTTTTGACCATTAATGGACATTTCCAGAAATAACAAGCCTCCTAAAACCTTTAATTTGTTTATCAGTAGATTGTTCAGGTTAAGTCCGAATAAGCATCGAAAACGCCTCATTCGAGTATAAGAAGGCAAACGAAAATGAACTATCACTGCTCCGTGAATGCCTCTTCATAGGCATACCAGCTTGGAACATGTTTCACAAATCCCAACTGGAATCAGTGTTCAAGTTCAGCTAAAAGATGGCGCCATACAAGATGACAAACAGTTAGTTTCCCACTTCTGGTTTATATAGAGTAAGGGATAGTTGCGCAGAATAGCAGAGGCTCCAAAGGAAACAGCTAAAGCATGCCTTTTTGATGCAAGTCGATTGATTGTATTCAGAACGGTATACGCAAAGAAGAGCACAGGCTTCTTAGTTGCCCCCTGAATGACATAATATTCGTCATGAATATCCATTTTTCCAGAACTCTTCAGACCTGGTGTTCATTGAGGTGAAACACCTGAATCACTCCCTCTTCCTTTCTTTCAAATGAGATCCACCATCATCCAGCTGTTCCACACATGTTCTCGTGATAAAGTACAAGGAGATCTTGGCAAGGCGTAGAACATCAAAGAGACTAAGTAATCAATTTCAAAATCGTTTGGGAAACGTAGAAGAAGGAAAATTTTTCGTAGGTATGGTAATGTTCATGATGCTATCGCTCATATCGTTAATCATTCTTGAACAGGAATGATCAACGGGATGAGCGATCACAACATGAAAGTCAAAAATAATAATCAATTCAACCACAAAATACAATGGCTCCAAAGAAATTTTCAAAGAAGAGAAGCAGATGTTCGACAAAAAAGAAACCATCGGAGAGCATAAAAAGGAAATGCATTCTATCCGTCCACGACTGGGACCCGTTGGGAGGCCGAAAAATGAGTCAGAAGATGCTTCGAAGGCGACCAACCAAAGGATGGACTCCTGGTGGAACTTCAGTGGTGTACTATTGGAGCAATTATGTGATCAGATGTTCAACAGCTATGAAGAAAGAGCAAATATACTGGAAGTACACAGGTGCACTACACGCAGTACGCAAGCAACCATCCATTTCGATGAATTTAAGAGAAGCTTATGAAAAAAAGGCGAGCCGTTTAAAACGCATCAATAATCTCACATTGACTGCACTCCTTCTCTTTGGTCTCGATTTTGTGGATTTCCAGTCCCATCTCCTTTCAAATCAGGTTCCCCTCGCTTTCTCGTCGCACTATTACATCATAGTGCCTTCAAATTTCTCTGGAAAATTCTCGATGTCGAGACCACCTTTTGCACCCTCCAAGATGCATACCGCCACTATTATAATTATTCTATGGATGACGTTGTGCGGTGCTAGAATTAAGGACACAGCGGAGAAACTCTTGTCTTAACAATTTACAACTTGCTTCCTGAAGCCGCTCGTATTTCATAAATAGCCCCTGTTCCTGGCCACTGTTACCAAGTAGCAGGCGTTAGCAACAGGAGAGTCCGCTCCCACAATCTTGACAACCTTTCTATACTGAGGAAATTACCATAGGGAAACTTCGAGAAACGCGGTACCGTTAGTAGGAACTTCGTCATTAAAGAAATCATGATGTGTCCGACGAACAAAGCCAGCACTTGATAGGAAACATGACAAGTCGAGAATTCTGTAGAAATCAGGAGATCCAGCTTTACAGAGGCCCTAGTATGCTTTAGCGCAGATATAAAAAAACGTGTGCCGTCGACAAGGCGCTTCCGAAAGGCATAAACCGGATCCAGACCACGACTGCAGCTATTTTAGAAAAAATTCTATTAGTCTGCGTGTCGAATCGTTCGAGAACGAAGAATTCAATCGATAGGCAACGAGGATGAATCGTTTGTGAAAACATCAAATGGCCGACGAGGAAAAAAAGCAAAAGATCCGATCCACATCGAAAGTCATTTTGCAGCATAAGTTGACTGTTAAGCAGTGAGCTACGCTATATTAGGTTCCTATAGCAAAGGGTAGGTCGGTTAGTGACGTTTGTTTTGTAAGATCTTGGGATGTCCTTGGCGGAGGTGGCGATCACACGTCAACTGCCATAAATACCTCTTCGTAACGTAATGTGATTTCTCTTTTGATTTGTAATCTCTGACATTTATAACTCTACTGCAGTATTTAATAAACTAGAAACGATGTTAAGGTAATAACAGCTTCGAAATTTTGGCCCAAGTTGGGAGAAAAAACAACCAATTGAATAGATCGATAAAATCTGATTGATTTGATTATGGAACTTTTACTGAAAAAGGAACTGACATGGTAAAACCCTACTTTCGATAAAAAAGAATCGATTAAAATGATCGATAAGTATCAGTAACCCAAATCTGAAACTTGCTGAGGAAGAAACTTACATGGCAAAAGCGGGACAGAGTTAGCATCGTCTCGATCCATTTCTTGTTACAGGGCACGTCCTTGAGACCTCCGCTCTGGCACGTCTCTGAACAACATTACTGCACTGATTAGTTACACGCTCGATGAAAATTGATTGAAAAATATACTATCATCATGAAAACACAATATCTTGACGGACCAAAGCCGAAAGTGGGCTGAAATCTAGACGAAATCTAAAAAACCTGGATAAGTCTGGAAATCTACCACGTCTTTTCTTTAGAAGTCACATGATGCTGATTTATTACCGATTAATCAATGAAGGATCAAGTTTTTCTAGATAACAGATGTATGTAACAGATATCCATGTGACGGAAGCTATACTCACAAAAAAAGAAACGGTCAGAAAATAGTTTTGTAATGTTAACTAAAACTTTTGTTTTTGCTTTTCACAGTGTTTCCTTCAAAATAACAACATTCCTGTCAACAAACAGGCCAAAAATAAAGGGTTATATCGAAGATAGAATGACTTGATTCATGGAGTCACATGGAATGATCATGGTGGGTGGCAAAAAAACTTTAAACCTCCAGTAAGACAGGTGTGACGACTTTATGGAGGTGACTAACGATTGAAAGGTTTTTGGAAAGGTCATGGCTAAAAGAAGACAACGAGTTCATCATCCTGTGGTGGTAACGATAACATCTAGTCAACAAAATTATGGCTGGCCAAAAAATAAGCCAAGTTTTGACTAGTTTAGCGTTGAAATAACCATTCATACTAACAATTCGCGATGAATAGAGAAAAAACTGAAAACGTACTAATGTGATGATGGTGATCCAGGACACTTTACTGCATTGCTGTGTATTGATTGGTGGAATACGACGATGTCATTGAGCTATAAATGACGAACATTTCGATCAGTTTCACCGGCTGAACTAATAAAACGACGGAGATCGTACAAAAATAACGAATAAACTCATACACAAAGACTCAGTCCTATAAATTGATTTTTAGAACTGTGGTATTATCGGGAAAACAAAGAGAAATTTAAAGTGGAAAGAGAACAAAGAGAAATTTAAAGTGTAATGAAAAGTTGTACATTAAAAACTAGTCAGTCCTTTAACTAAAACAATAATTAGGTGAGTATTTGAGCAAATTAAAAATCAACCGACCAGAGACCAACAAATCAAGCAGGCAAAAATTGAAGTCGCGCATTTTGACCGTAATTGGCGTGGGAAGATATGAGGCGTGATGTCAATGGTTACCTTGTACCAGGTACGCGCCATTTCACGACAAGTACTGTCATGGCGTGAGGCGCCAGATTACTGTAGGAACTTGGAACAGCCTTGAATTTTGTTTGAGATGATGATACTGAATGATAATAAACCGCAGTAGGTTGATTCAGTGAACTCAATTTCGATCAGGAACTGTTGTACCTTGAAGAATTCCCTCGGTAAGAAAAAATTTAGGAAATATCAATGCCTAACCGTGGCAAATGAACTTGCACCTTCCCTTGACCTGTATGAGCTTCATTTGCCACCTGCTTCAGATGGCGATTGAAGGCCACGCAGTCGAGGTCAGGCCATCCGGCGCCCCCTCGCCGGGAACGGCTCAATCGGCTCTTTAGAAGATGGTCTACAGATCTTCTTCTGTTCGTTTGAGGTGGGTTACCTGTTGTACTTATTGACAAGTGCTAGATATCTATCGCCTATGCTGGAACTAAGCCTAGGGCTGAAATGTCGCTCAAATATCTCTGGCTTTCAGGCTCTGATGAAGGCGAGAAGGCCGAAAGGATACCCGGATACAAGCTGTAATGTCTTAGTCATAGCTCCCAGAAGAACACCAATACATCGATATGCTATGCCAAGATTCATGCAGAGCCGAATGGTCGTTTGGAAATAGGAAGTTAGTAATGGACTGGCAGCTATTCACCGTCTCTATTTTGACAACCACCCTGAACCCTTTGAAGGTCTTCAGGACATAGGACGTTCTCTCTTCAAACAGGTTCTAAGGAGTTATTTATGTTGTTTTATGGAAGTTCGAAAAAGAATGTTCAGTTGTCTATTCTGGTGGTAGAGAAAACTATGCATGGCGCTTTTAGCCAAAACCGTTCAGTAGGCAGCATCGACAAGGTTGGGAAAACCTCCCACGATCGCTTCACCCCGACCTGGACGTGGAACGTTGTAACGTGGCGAGGGAGGCTTTCAAGTAGAAGTTATAACACTTGAATGAGATTGAAATAGAAAAAATAATAGCAAAGCCAGCAGGGTAAATAGATAACGCCATGGAATGTAGACATGGGAGCCTGAAAGAGTTTTTAGGACATCGTATCCGATTTGCAATACTTCAAAATCGAAAGCAAAATCGACTTCTCCTCCCCTTCACTAGTTCTGCTTGGCTTAGAACCATATTCCCTGTTGGACTACTCATGGTCCACCCTGTAGGCTGCCTAAGCTGAATCCGATCCGTAGAATTGGATATTGAAGGAAATTCTTAAGACGTTGCTCCACACTTCCCATAACGGTGAATAACGATTAGTTCAAGTGAAGCAACATTTACAATAATTATGTGATACTGATGTGAAATTTAGATTTTATCTGAACGGAAAGAATGAAGAGGCTCTAATGCTGTAAGGACCTAATATGTTTTGAGGTTCATAGAGTGAGTAGGAGCCAGAAGTTGAGAGCGTTTTCTGAGAATAAGAGGGGGTGTGTTGGTCTATCAATAATGATGCTTTGTCCGTATTCAAATGTGAAATCTAATAGCATCGGACAGGATCCCTTGAACAAACATGACGCTGAATAGGTCCCATCCGCCTTGTACGGTTAGTTGGGACCGATAGACACTCATCGTCTGAGAGCGTAATCTGTGGTTCAAAACGCAACATCAATAGCTAACATGCCGCACAGTTGATGAAAGATAATGAAGAATAAATAGCAGAACATTTTTAGCGTTCATCGCTTCCGTCTTGGGATGCGCCCCACTTCCGGCTTCTGGTGTTTTGAGTATGTATGAGGCTTATGCAGGGACTCGAGCAGGCCAGCCAATGTGTACAAATCAACGCTTTTATCTTTCCAGCTGAGTCGGGTATCAATTAACTGATCAAAGCGATGGACGGCTTGGTTGGTCTGGTCCTGTATGTAGGTCCAGGGGAAATAAGATTCCTTCTAATGAAGGGATTACTGAGAGTTCCTGAACCATTCATCACTCGAGGCCTTTTTTCCAAAGAAACTTTACTCTGTTTGACTCGATTGGCTAGAATAGGGTTAGCCCTATCCCTCGGAGGTGAGCAAACTCGGCGACTGCGGCTTTTCTGCGCAAACATGAACGATATTGATCTGATAGGTTCGATCTGTGATTCAACGCTGAACATCGCCAACTCGTACCAACTCGATCACTAATTCAACTGAACCTTTTAGTTTACAGAATACAATTGAAAGCTGCAATTTTCTTCCGAACGCCTTCCTTGACCACTGTTTTTCCTCAGCTGCTGTTGTGTACGTCCTGCCATTTGCTGTTGCCATCTGAAAAGAAATATGAGCAGCTCAGTACCTAATTCAATCCATATTTGATTTACATCGATTTCATTGGAGGCTGGTTTGATTGACATGAAAATTACCCCTCGCTCAAGCTAGATGTTATTACATTCTTGTTCCTTTGATTTTGAAATTTGTTGTGGGAGCCATCTGACCGGTTCTAAACAAAAAGAGTTCATCAGAGCAACTGGAGTAGGTGGTATGGCGACAAATGGCGCACTATCATATTACGGGTACGAGTTCAATTATCCCATCGATATCCGCCTAGGCCAACCAAGCTTTTCATCCTCAGGGGTCGATTACTTGGTACCAAACTTGTCTGGGAGGTTAGAAGCACCGAGTTGTACATCGGCTGGTTATCGCGTTTCAGTGTATAGGTCACTTACGCATTCTAACTGCCACTACGACCCTGAATGGTGGTCGAGTGCGAGGCGCATCCCAAAACGGTATTGATTAATGCCAAAAAACTATCCTTCCACTTTATCAGAAGAGCGAGTTAATATTTCTAAGCTATGGCGGAACCTTACATCAGAAAATCTATTCTGCAGTGTACCTGCACCTACCCGAAGCTGTATGTACTCATGGGAATTCTTCCCGATTAGTATTTCTCAGCTATGACTAATTTGAAAAGCTTGCTTACGGTTTTTGACCTGATCTTCTACAGCTTCCGCAGTGGAACCCCGTGCCTGAGTCACTGATCAAATTTCCGCTTAACTATTTGTTTGTCTTTCGTAGCCTTCAAATAAGCGTTGCTAAGGAACAGTAATCACGCTCAGTTGAGGAACGAAGTGGATTGAGACGGGTTGTGGCCTCATAATCATGAAAAAGGATAAATCATTTGGTCGTTAATCAATTCTACTTGAAAGATGCCCCCTGCATTCGACTTCCGTTCAGAATCACAGCGGCGAAATGAATGCGTGTGTGGCTTATACAATGACTTGCGGTGGCCAGCTGACGTACAAGTCAGTGCTTTCGTCCTCCCAGGCAAGTCTGGTAGCAATTTACCGACCCCGAAGATATAGTAGGTTTGGCTTGCCTAGGCGGGTCCGGGAATCGAACCAGTGACCAGGCGTGTGTGATAGTGCGCTACTTGCCACTACCCCACCTCCGCCCCTCCTAATCGTATGCTCTGCTTATTTCTGAAGTCCTTGATCCCTCAGATCTAAATAATGCTCTTGTTTAAGCAGCTGATGAAGACCGAAGCGTGATTTTTCGTTTTTTAATCATTAGGTCGGGTATTATTAGGAAAAAAGGTGTTGCCTGCTGCCAAAGGAATCCTCACATTCCTTGCATCAAAATAATTTTTAAATCGCAAACTTCAAGGATAGATTGCTCATAATGGGCAAAGCACGGATTTCATGAGGTTTTTCAGCAGGCGCTAGCAGCTAGTTCCATCATAAACTGTGGAAACCTTGAAATGTCGTCAGAAATTGATGGCAAAGTGTCCGACATGATTCTGCCATTGATAATGTGCTATACTAATACCACTTTATATTCCATCTCTATCTACTACTACTTAAACTATTACTACATTACCATTTTGCCTTACTTTATATCTATTTCTGGTTAGAAATATAGAACTCGTAAAGACTGAGCACATGTTCATCCTCAGTATAGGCTCCCGATGAGGATTGAGACTTTCAAATGGGATCAGAACCATCTGGTCGAGGCAATAGATAGATAGAAATCATTGTTTGCACGAGAGGAAGGAAAGACAGCATGATGAAAGTATTCCCAGGAACGGGATTTCAGGTGGTGACTTATTCTTTTCATATGGACAAGAAGGAAAGACTCCAGAAATTCAATTTCCGTAAGAACTTCGCATTCTTGCCTTGATATTTGCTATTTTTGTGTTAATCTATTTACATTGCCGGAAGTTACCATCATTTTTTGCGACAACAACATTTTTGCGTGACCCCCTTGAGCAAATCTACTCACTAAGCTAATATTATTGCAGCCTGAACAGGAACAGTTCAACAAATACGTTAACTTCTTGAGTGGAGGTGTTGATGGTCTTGGTAAATTCGAGTTTCCCTCACTGCCAGATCAGCCATGAATTCCACCGATGTGCCATTTATCGATCAATGGTTCAAAGGTGAGCTCATCACTTACCTAACTATACTCATATCTACTTTTAATGTTTTTAAAATCTTCGACTAATTGAGTAGCTGGCCAAGTTTAGGTTTACCTGCTATCTACATCGTTTTCATTGGAATCTGTAGCTGTGTGTTTATTGCCATTACGGTAGCTACCGTACTGATGGCCATGAGAGTGCATTTTCACGTACCAAACGAATACGTTCAGGGAGATCTGTACTTCATTATATTTGTACCTTTCGTGAGTTTCTTCTTTTAGACCTTCTCATCTTTTTTCTGAAAGCTGAGCAGAGATGTCTTCTAAGGATTGGCTTATATCCAAGGTTTCCGAAGGTAGAGTGGCTGCCAAGACTGCCAAGTGGTGCCGTTATCACAGGTATGGCTCGGAGATCGAATCCTAGATGACCAAGCCTCCAGCAAGAGTTACTTACATCGAAGCAAAGGTTTTCTTGAAGATGGAATACTGATAGCTACCGACGTAGTCCCCATAGGTCTGCGTGCTGCACGTAAGCATTGGAACGAACCTGAAACTGGGTGGAGGCCCCGAATACATAGCCACATCTCAAGACCAGTTTTAACAACCCTGAGAACATTATCTGTTGATGACCCCATCCACGCTTCTTTTCTGTGATTACCAATTGGGCAAGGTGTCCAGGCATCAGATCACCTCCTATAGTGCTTACAAGAGTCTTCCTTCAGGATGGCCCTCCCCAGAAAAAACCAGAGCTGCAACAATTTTCTGGGGACCCTGAATGCAGCAGCGACCCGTGGGCTGTCGTTTACAAGCTCCGACTGAATCCTTTCGCTTTTTCCAACTGACAAGGTAACACACCATTCCTCCCGAGCAACGCAAAGTCCCGGTTTACCTCCATGTACCCGGGCTGTCACAAAATGTACCCCTTATAGGTTTATAATATCTACCTTAACTAGTTGAAATCACGCTTTATTTATCGATCCCGTTTCAGATTGTTTCTGGAATGTGCCTTATTGGAAATATCATACCACGAGCAGCACCAGTAACCTACGCTGTAGGCTTGATGTGAGTAGTCAATAAAACACAGTGCTAATCATTTAGAAAAGTTTGACTGAAATAACAAATACAAGGACGAAGTTGCATGTTTTCATTGTTCTGAGCGGCTTAGGAGCTATGGGTCCATAGGGGACCAATGACCCCTGTTGACGGTCTTTGTTGCTTTTCAGTAACCCTGGAACTATTTTGTCCCAAATTTTGAAGGTTGAGCTATTATGTTGTGATCGTGGGGTCATTGTGCTTGTGGGACTGAAGGATAAGGATTATAGGTTCAGTGAAAAGATGGTCATTTTGAAGGGCAAGTGATGTTTGCCGCTTGCACGACAAAAAGTAGGCCGTAGGAGGTGTGATTAATCCACTGAAGCCGATGATCCCTGCTTTTTAATTCTGATTTTTGATTCTTTTTCATCCAAATGGACGTAAGAGAGGAGATCAGCCTTCATATTGCATTGCAATTATAAACGTTAACAGATAATGAAAAGAAATTTTGGTCGATCTGATACCAGGATGCTGAAGGTGGTGTAGTGGTAAGTGGCGCACCATCACACACGCATGGTCACGGGTTCAAATTCCGGATCGATTCCGCCTTAGCCAGTCAAGCATTCCACCCCTTCGGGGACGGGTAACCGGTATCAGGCTGCCGCACTCATTTCTCATTTTCCAATCACGCCCAAACTATTGTATAATTACCAGGGTTAATAAGAAATCCTTCAGATTCCTTATGTTATGTCTGAATACGACAATCATTATCATTATTCGGCTGTTTGGTACAAGAGAAGGCATGGCAAAATGGCTGATGGAGAATGAGAAAGTTGGACTGAGTTACTATTTGACTAATACATCTTAAATTCTTTGTTTTTGCAGGTGCTTTACTTTGACGTTCGACCTTATTGCTGTTGCTGCCATTGTTTGCCTGGAATGGTACCTAATCCGTGAGAATTTTTCACATTTCAGTAACTTCTTTGTTCTTTCAAGCTATCTTGTTGATCTTAAGGGCTAAATACACGTACGCAGTGCCACTCTTTCAGTGGGAGAACGTCCGTTGCGCGCGTCCGTCAAAAATAGGTCACCCCGCCCACCTCGCGCGCGGCGCACCCCACTGAGGTCTTAAGATGACATTACAGTACAACCAAGTGTCAGTGGAGCGAACGATTTGCATTTGTACGTGTTATCTTCTCTCTGAGCTGACTGCCATGTACCATGCGCAAATCGTGTGCCCCACAGACAACTGCGACATCCGTCAAGTATCGCGGGCTGACCTGCCGCATGCGACGGCTGCGGCATGACCTAGTTTCGACGGACACGCGCAACGAAACGCACCCCTTTCAGTGCCATCTATGATGCCATACAATCTCTAAGGCTCTGCCTACCCATCCCCCCTACCACTCCCGTCGATGAACTGCCGTAGGTCGGAATAACTCGGATACGCCATGACGACCTTTCTCTTTTCGTTATTAACTACGCATTTGGAGGTTTAGCGTTTCTATGTAGTGCCTTGAAGAAAAAATTCTATTCATTGCTTTGAAAAATGGATATTTATAGGTAAGAATGATGAAATTATCGAGTAGGAAGTTTCGACCGCACCATACCCTCATCCACTAAATCATGATCAAACCTATTTGCTTATAAACTTTGAAAAACACCTTATGTAGTTGAGCGAGGCATGGTTCTTTGTGGAAAGAGCCAATTTCGAAGAAAGAAGACAGAGAGGCGTCAGTTTTTCCCTTCATCTACAGAAAGGCTCTATGTTTTTATAGCTCATCCCGAAAAGTTCGTACGAAAGCGTTCTGCTGAATTGTTGGAAGTCTGCTCAAAAGCTCAATCTCTATACGAATCATAAATAGCGGAACAAAATGATTCCGTTTTGATTATGTTCCCTTCGACGACCCTTTGAAGATCAATTTCAGGACTAAGGTACGGCGTCTTACTTACTTCGTAAGGCAATCTCCGCTTGTTCGAGTATTTCTGCAAGTCGTCATTGTAATTGTCAGTATCGAAGGCGTTTCTGATGGATCAGCGTGAGTTATCATCCATTATCACCGAAGACTTCCCGGAACATCGCTCATTTTCAAGGGTTCTCCAAATCCTCAATGGTCTCGGAGTCGCCTCAACTTTGATTGCTGTCTACATTTGCCATGTGATTGTAACTGCAACTCGGGTACGGTAACGAATTGGAGCTTATTTACCTGATTTACTTTGTTTTGATTATTGTTGTTTACTGGTTTGCGGTGTGAATGCTTTCAAAAGTGTGCACAGATATTGGCAAAACAATGGGCCTCGGACGGGATTCGATCCCTCACTTAACCTTGCCTCTATACGACTTATTGTTAGTCCCCTTGGATTGCTCTGCATCTTTTCGTGATTTTCAGAAGTTCGAAAACATTTCGCTCTAAATGAAGGATTTCAGGATGTACTTACCCCATACAACATGTACGTAATATTTCGTTGTGTGGATACGACTCAAATGCTCTACACCTTCCAAAAGTTCATACTGGATTTGATAGCAAAAAATGGTGGAATGGGAGGTCTTCCAATGGCTACACCGCCAATGGTAGCGCGCTGTGAGTGAGATTCTCTCTATTTTTTCTCGAAAAAGGAAGAGAATTCGAAATCTTTCTCTTTTTTCAGTCTGGCACAATGTGGCGATGACATTCGAGGTTGGAATTGTATGCGTAGTGATGTTCAGGAATATTGGACCAGGCAAAAGCGCTTTCTTCGCGGAACAGAACGAAGCTGTTCATGTCTGTCATCCCATGCCTCTGGCCAATCTCTGAGCTTCATAGTGTGATCTGAGCTCGAGGCCATTTCATG